ATATGCTACCAACAGTTTTCAAAGATAAAATAACACTAATTTCCAGTATTCATGAAATATCCGGCGCATCTGACTTCCATTTCTCATTCATTTGGAAGCAAATTAAACAAAAAGCAAAGAAAAAGCATCAAAACTGCAAGTATTGCAAGTATTAGCTGCACTGTATTTTTATTTCAGGATATATCACCAAAGCCTTTGAAGATTCCTTTGCAGCTAATACTCTTCTGTTTCACTCCCTGAGAGATTGGCATGCCTACACTTTAGTCTTCGAAGTGGAAACTGTTTAGCAAGATATGTGACAACAGCAACCCCTTGTGGATCAGGAACATCTTCACAGCAGCTGCTCACAAAACCTCTTCAGCAAATACTGCAGAATTTACTTTACTTGGATGTGTATTTTTCTACACAAACTGCTGATGAAACGAAATGACCAACTTTATATATTTTTCATGCTCCTTGAACAGATGTCGACTTCATGTCCTGGTTAATCAAGCTGCTAACATTTACCATCTGTAGATAAAGGCAATTTTGTCTTTCTCTCACTCATGAAGATTTTGCCAATGTCAGGTGACTTCTTGCTAATCAGCAGGAATTTTAATCTTCATGAGAAGATTATTACCATCATTATGAAGAAATCTGGCAATTCTGGCTGAGATGTTACAGCAAGAGGCAGTCTCTTTGTGACTAAAATGATTAAATGTATGATAAGATCAATATTGATATTATCTGAATCAAAGTACCAACTAAAAAGTAAACACTGAAATATTACTGCACGCATGAGCAGTGCTGCAAAACAAATGCCACTTTAACAAACCATGACAAATTTTAAAATAGAGAATATGATTACCTGTGGGACAAACATTATCTTATTAAGCTGCATTTCTTCATATTGAAGCATCAGCTTTAGAGGTACTTTATACAATCCCTGCAGCTGTGACACTAAAAATCCAAAGGCTTCATAGTTCTTGTTTACCAGCTAAACTCTTCCAATTTCGTCAGTGAATCACAACTCAAAAACAACTACAGTTCCTCTTGGTACAAGGCAATATGATGCTTAAAAATTGCTGTTCCTTTTTTGCTTGGACAATGAGGTAAAACAGTGATTTTCTGGAGCCAAAAAAAATGCTTCTTCATTAGGGAAGTGATGGTATGACCTTGTACAAACCAGACCACCCACTTAATTGATTCTTCAGTTAAAATGAAGCATTTTTGAGCCTCTATGTTGCATATGATTTTCCTTTCTAGCTTTAAAAATCAAATGATCCAGTACTTGGACCAAACTATACATGCCTCTCCTCCCTGTTCTTGAAAAGAGAATAACACAAACATACAGACTAATACATAGACACACAGTAACATATCTTAGAAAAGGATAAACTGGTTTCGTTTCGCATATAGATGGATTGTGCAGTATGCATTCTGGAAGAAGGACATGTCATTCCTTGTCTTATCTACCTCTTCTAACCTAACTGCAAACAAATCTCAACTAAAAATAAAAGTAAGACATGAAAGTGGAAATGTAGCTACCATGTAATGGTCTCTCTGTTACCACATAGGGATGCTTGCATATCTGTAAGTCAGAAAGGAAATTATGGAAAAGCATAAAGTATGCTCAGTGTGAAATCAGGAGAAGCAGACTGTCAGCTGAATAATGAGTTGTTGAAATACAGCATGCCTACCAAACAACAAGTTCACGAAATGCGGTCTTTAGATGTGCTGAAGGCTCATGAGAAGCCATTTCTGAGTGACCTGCAGAAGGTGCAGGTCTTGGCAGACTGTGTTGTTTTTGTCTTTGTCAGTCAATTTAAGTCAAATCCTGTAACTTTTAATGGAAGATGTGGATAACAACACCTAGATGCAATCAGCCCCTTGTACTTCTAATTGTATTTCAATCTCATTATGCATTCATAATATACACCATGCATAAAACCTTTTTACTGATCTTTTTTCTTTCACTTAGAAGACATGCTAACCACAAAGCACCCTCAGAACTACTCATTAAACAGCAGAATCACTATGACTCACTTGTTAAAAACTCAGTATTGCAAAAATACTTCACTGAAACACAAGAGATTTAAGCTTTATTATTTGTTACAGCCTGGATAACAAGGAATACTGAGAAGACAGAGATACTGAATACTTTTTTTGCTTCAGTCTTCACTACATTGTCTTTCCCTTAGGAAACCCAGATCCTGAAGGTAAGAGAGAGTCTGGGGAATGGAAGGCTTTGCTAGTGTTGAGGAGGAGATGATCAGAGAGTGTCTAGCCAAAATCAAAGAATACAAATCCAATGTCACTCCAGTCCTCAAAAAAGGCAAGAAAGAGGATCCAGTAAACTACAGGACAGTCAGCCTCACCTCCACCCTGGAAAGGTGGTGGAGCAAGTTCTTCCAGGTGCCATCTCCAAGCAAGTGGAAGAGAAGGTTATCAGGAGTAGTCAACACGATAAGGGGAGATCATGCTTGATGTACCCCCATGTAGGTGGGGGGAGGACAGTGGGTATTGTGTACCTTGACTCAGCAAGGCATTTAACACCATCTCCCATATTATCCCACTTTGTGATGAAACTTAGGAAGCGTGGGATAGATGAGTGGATGGTGAAGTGGATTGAGAACTGGCAGACTGGCAGAGCTCAGGCAGGCAGAGCTCAGCAGCAGCACAGAGTCTGTTTGGAGGCATGTAACTAGTGGTGTTCTCAAGAGGTTGGTGTTGGGTCTGGTCTTGTTCAGCATCTTCATCAGCAACCCGGATGAAAGGATACAGTCCACAACAAGTTTTGATAGTGTCATGGTTTTATGATCTTTCTTATTGGTATCCCACATCATAACATCATGTAAAGCACTGGGAGTTAAAGAGTTAATATTCCAGTTCTGTGGACTGCTGATTTCCTGAATACTTGGCTCTCAGAAGAGAAGAACTACATACCCCAGAGGACTTTGTGCTCAGAAGGGAAGATAAAGTTCCTGGTAAGTCATGGGACTCTTATTTTCTCACTGCCAGTCAGCATGTGTGCTCCCCAGTCATTTCGCCTTCAATTTTAGAGTAAGGGCTTCGGTTTCAGATACTTTTTTTCTCTCTCACTTTATCTGATATATTAGCCCCAGTTCCTATTATGTGTTGGATTCTCTTGCATTTCAGTATCATATTTAGTAAATTAACTTTTTCTAGTTAGATCACTGCTGCTGTTCTGTTTATAGGCCCATCCATCATCTCTTTACCCTTTCCCCTTCTCCCCTTTCTCCTTTCCCAGGGCATGGGTACATGGGCCCCCCCATTAATTGCAGATGTGGGCTGAATCAGCCCATAAACTGCTGACACCCTCCCCTCCCCTTCCCTTTTCTGGTCCTGTGGACCTGCTATACTAGGAGGAGCAGCTGCACAAAGGCTGTGCTACCATTCAACAAGATCTGGATGGACTGGAGAGTTGGGCAGGAAGGAACTTGATGAGGTTTAACAAGAGCAAGAGTAGAGTCTTGTACCTGGGGAGGCATAACCGCATGTATCAGTAAGGCTGGGGGATGACCTGCTGGAGAAGAGTTCTGCAAAGAAGGTCCAGATGATCCTGGTGGATGATTGGCCAGGAGCTAGCATTGTGCCCTGGTGGCCAAGAAGGCCAATGGGGTCCTTAAGTGCACTAAAAGGAGTGTGGCCAGCAGGTCAAGGGAGTGTCTGTGACTGTGTCCCGGTCAAGCCACACCTGACACTGTACTGTGTCCAGTTCCAGGCTCTCTGGAACAAAAAATACAGAGATCTCCCGAAAGGAGTTCAGTAGAGGGCCACAAAAATGATAAAGGGCCTGGAGTACCTCCCCAGTGAGGAAAGGCTGACCAGTCTGCATTTGTTCAGACCTGACAGAAAAAGACTGAAGGGGATCTTATTAATGTTTGTAAGTATCATAAGTGTGAGAGACAGAGGGACATGGTCAACCTCTTCAGTGGTCTGTGAAGACCACAGGGGGAAACAGCTGGAGCATAGGAAGCTCTGCACCAATGTGCAAAAGAACTTTCATGATGAGGGTGACTGAGAACTGAAATAGACTGTGCAGAGAGGTAGTGGAGTCTCCTTCTCTGGAGATATTTAAGACCTGCGTAGACACCTACGTGTGACCTATTGTAGAGCACCTGCTTTAGCAAGGGGGTTGGATTCAATCCCTTGAGGTCCCTTCTAACCCCTACAATTCCATGATTCTATCATAGAAATGTCCTTTTTCTCACTGCCTATGCTTGCCCTTCTTTTCCCTCAGTTTGACCAGCAGGGCCTTGCCAAGCCACGTCAGTTTTCTGTATCCCCTTCCTGCTTTCTTATATTCTGAAGGACAGAGAGTTCTTGCATTCTCAGAAAGGCATCCCTATAGAGTAGCCAGTTTTGTTCCACTCAGTTATCTCTTAGGACTCCTTCCCTGGAGACCTCACCCAACAATTCCTTCGACAACTTGAAGTTTGCTCTCCTGAAGTTCGGGGTCCTGATTCCATTGTTTGCCAAGCCTGCATTTCTTGAGATCATCAGCTCAACCAGGGCATGGCTACTGCAGCCCCAACTGTCTGCGATTTTCATGTCTTCAATCATCCCTTCCACATTGGTGAGCGCCAGATTCAGCAGTGATTCACCTCTGGACACTCTGTCCAGTTCTTGAACAGGAAAGTTATGGTAAGTGGTGCTCCTCAGGGATCAGTACTGGGGCCAATGGCGTTTAACATCTTTGTAGGCAATAAGGACAGCGGGACTGAGTGCATGCTCAGGAATTTTGCAGATGACACCAAGTTGAGTGGTGCAGTTGACACACTGGAGGGAAGGGCTGCTATCCAGAGGGACCTGGACAGGCCCGAGAGGTGGGCCCATGCTAACCTGATGAAGTTCAACACGGCCACGTGCAAGGCCTTGCACCTGGGTCAGGGCAGTCCCAAGCACAGATTCAGCTCGAGTGGAGAATGGCTTGAGAGCAGCCCTGAGCAGAAGGATTTGGGGATGCTGGCTGATGAAAGACTCGACATGAGCTGGTAATGTGCACTCGAAGCCCAGAAGGCCAATCAAATCTCGCGGTGCATCAAGAGAAGCGCAACCAGCAGGTCAAGGGAGGTGATTCCGCACCTCTGCTCTTGCGAGACCCCACCGTCTGTACTGCACCCAATTCTGGTGCCCCCAGACAGCACAGCCCCAGCCAGACCGGGCCACAGCTCTCTATGGAGGCACCGCCGCGGCGTGGAGACCAATGGTGAGGGAGGGGCGGGGCCTCTCGGCCGGCGGCAGCCAATCAGAGGCGCCAGGCGCGCTTCCCGCCCTGAGGTCGCTCCTGAGGTACGCGCTGCGGCGCCGTCTGTGATGGCTGCTGGTTTACGGAGCAGTGTCGGTGTGTTCCAGTGAAGCGCTCTCCAGAAGGTAGCAATAGGAAAGTTGCTCTCATCTCCTCAGCGTGGTCCCACAGCTAGTGTCCTCAGCGCAGCCAGGTGTTGGCTCACTGGTCAGCCTCCCCACTGGCTGAGGGCCTCTGTGCAGCTTATGACAGGAATTCCCCTCTGTACCTTAGTTATGGTTTGGAATGGTTTTGTGGGTTGTTTTTATTTTTTTTTTTCCCTTTTCCTGAACCCAGCCTTCTACATTCCCTGGTCATACTATTTTCAAGCAAACAGCCAGTTCCTAATTATCTTTTATTTGTTGGTCTCTGCTACTTTCATACCTGGATTTGTTATTTCTGACACTGTTACCCATGCAATTTTAGCCTAATGCCATATTACTGATATTTACTTGAGTCCCAACTTTCCTTACGGCCCTACAACTCAAGTTTTTTATGTTTCATTTACATCATACACTGTTTGGATAGGATTATCTTAATTTAGCCCTAACACTTTACCTAATTTATTTAAGAATACATACTCTTACCTTGTACGCACATGACCAATCACACCATATATATGTTCTTGTAGTCCTTCACCTGTACTCCATTACCCACCTGACTCCATCAGAGTCCCCTAATTAATTTAGAGACTTGGTGTTCTAACAGGACCTCTTCCTTGTAACTAGCTCATACAATTCTTTTTTGCTTGCAAAACTGAAGGAGTGAATAAAATAAAAAAAAAAAAGAAGAAGAAGCTCTATGCATTAGTCAGTGAAAGATTAGGTTTAGGTAGCTGAACTACAATTTTTGAATCCAGAAGAAATAATCTAATTGGTTTGATCGGTTCAACAATTAGATCTGTTAAATTGTCAGAATTATTGCTTAGGGGAGATAACTCAGATTGCTTACATTCACTTAAAAGGATTGAAAGGTTTTCTTTGAACTGCAAGAGGCACAGAGGGAAGGGAGAGGAGGAGGAGGAGGAGGAGGGGGGGAAAAGGGAAGGGGCAGAGGAAGGGAGGGAAGGGAGAAGAGAGAAAAGGGCATTTTTGCATAATCAGATGTCTGTGGTCTCTAGTTCAGTTGTTACATCCTTCCAAAGGAGGAATACTAAACGCTCTTCTAAACAAAGTTCAGTTCAAAGTGCATATGTTAGAAGAAGCTCAGAAATTATTCTTGTTTAGCCTTTATTTCAGTCTGCTCTTTCAACTCTTGTACAAGAACTTTTATCATTTTTCTGAATTTCTTTTAGACAAGTGTCAGAAACATCACAAAACAGGAAAGATGTTTGCAGCTTTAAAGTATCACTCAACAGACTATTTATATGAGGTATAGTTTTATTATTTCCCTTATTATTCTGAAGGAATTATGTCAGTCATTTAAAAGATTCATATATGTTAAAAAGTAGAGAACTAATTTCTAAGAAATTGTATTTGTTTGAGGTTGTTGTACTGCACTGATGCTAGTATAACAATAAGGTTATTAAGGTTATATAATAATAAGGTTATATAACAATAAGGACTGATTACCTTTTTTAATAGAAAATTAAAGTGCAATTTTACCAAAGCAGAAGAGCATTTATTTTTTATTTGTCTATTGCATTTATGATTGTGTTTCATAACCTGTTGCTTAGAGCTTCCTTTGGAGTGTGTACTGTGCTTTCTAATGCATACAATTCAATTAATTACCTTTTTGAAGAACTAGTTTTAGTTTCTAATTTATTTAATATGCATTAGGTAATGCTACAAATCGTTGTACTCCTACTGTAGATGGGGAAGTGTCATTTCTTTGTATGCTATGGATGAAATTTAAAATCTGTGTAAAGCAGATGTTTTTGACATCTACAATGAATCTCCTGGCTTTATTAATGTTGATCTGTTACAACATGGAAAACTTAACAAAGTTCTGCTTTCTTTTCTGTCTACGTCTGTGTGATGTTATCCATTGCTTATCATTTGGTGCAATGTCTTTTCTAATTGAGGATTCACTTATTCACATTTTCAAAGAAAAGATATGAGCCATACTAAAAAATTTTCTGGCAGGATGGTGCTTTGCCTAGGGGGGATATTCCTTGTGCAAAGTAGAAGAATGAGATGGTGAGACATGATGCCTTCAAGAATTCAGAAGGAGTGCAAGGACACTCACAAGTAGTCCTGGCACATGTCTGGAGAAATGTAACTCTGAATTAGTCTAATATAGTACAAATATTTGCAGGTGAACTGCAGTCCACACTATTGAATACCTTGTCTGTGTCCCTTTCCTCATAGTGCGGAAGGTGTTTTCCATAGTATCTGTTTGTGCCTTCTTTCTTAGAATGTACCATCAGAACCTTTTTCTGCTGTAACTCCAGCAGCATGCAATCTGTATTTCAGCCTTCCAGCAGCAATTCTATTCAGTTTGATCTTCAGATGATTCTATAGCATTTGTGAATATGAATATTTGTGAAAGGGTATGTTAGCAAAACATGTACAGGGCCAGTATGAAAAGGAAAATAACTAGATTTGTGCGTTTTCTTGCTTAAATTTTGAGGAGTCAGGCAGTGCTGATAGTGGGATATATGAAAAGAGGCAGAAGTTTAGTGTTTGGTAACTTGCTGACTGGCTGCTGGCTCTGCAATATCAGCAGAAATAGTGGATGTGGTCACAAAAGTGAAGGTATTCTGCATCTGACTGTATGAAGGCTACGCTGTACTGAAACTGCAGTTTCTTGTTTCTACCATCCTGCTAGAGAGCATGTAATAGTTCAGTGAACTTTTCAGGGATTTGTTTTACCAAATGCACTTGCTTAATGCTTCCAATTGTAGGAAATGCTGGAATTTTATGGGAGACTCAAAACTCTGATTCCTGCAAATGTTTAGCTAAGCTCAGTGCGGAATCCTTCTCTTGATGTTCTTGTCCTTTTATAAAGCCCAGGTATAGTTCTTCCAACTGCCCAGTTTAAATAAATACTTCAAGAAAGATGCCTATCTAGGTTCCTCAAGCTACTGAGCATTGCAGGTGTGATTACAGAGTAATCTTAGAAGTTTGGTATTCTCTTACATCATAAATTGACAATACAGGCAAGCTGTACAGGACTGTAAAAAAACAGTGTCTTTTGTTTAAAAGAGATTTTTATAAAGACATTTACATTTCCTTGAGAAATAGTAGGAAATATTCACTGGCTAAATGATTTAAACATTAATACTCTTTTTAAAAAACATTTATATATATGAGAAAGACAAGAAAGGTTATGTTGTAGCAGACGTCATAAATTCGATTAATTCACTATAGCCGTTATACTCGGAACAAATCAATCTAAAATGTTCTGTAAAATGTATAGCTTGCCTGTTATAAGGCCACCATCTGTGCACACAGCCCTAGGACATGTTTGCTCTACTTTACAAACAGCAGTGATTGAAAATATGCTTAATTCTAGGCTACTGAGCTACAGGTATCCTCACAAAACTGCATACTGGTGTTAACATTGTCTTTCTGATCCCTGACACTTTATTGCTTGCATTTACTTGTTCAGCAGTTTCTGCTTTAACTCCAGCAGCTCATATATTTTTAACCTCAGAGTACTGCAAGAGCACAGTCACTGTCATTATAACTTGTTTTAATGACAAGAAGGGTTATAATTAGGATTAGGAGAGAAGATACCTGCCTAAACGTAGTGTTTTGCCTTAGACAAAAAATTGTTACTGCATCAATGTGGCTCTTATCAATTTTTGCAAGAATTTTCTAAAGAAGATGGAATAATGGCAATTTTTTTGGTCTCCTTTTTCTTAAAGTTAACTGTCGTTAACAATTCTGACAGTTTTAAGTATCTGACAGAGGATTAAAGCAAACAGGAAAAATAATTTATAATTATGACCATTGACAGAACTAACTGAGTTTTATGTTCTCTTAGATTGGACTGTGTCTCAGTTTCACGGAAATATAAAACTTAAATATAAAAAGGCTTGGTGCGCAAGAGACTCATAATCCCATCACATGCCTTTTTTTTGTGCAGAGCATGGCAAGGCAAAAGTATTCCATCCGTAGATTATCACTTTGCTTTCCTCCCTGTTTCCAACAACATGAAAAGTATCGTCTGACTGGACTTTTTGCTCATGCTCAGTACAGGAGGCCCTGGACAAGAAGTAAGTAGTCTGGTTGCTAAGGTTTACTTTAAATTCATTGTGGATTGACAGAAAGGTTTCTGTTTGAGCATAATATGATGTATTCTAATAGGAAAAAATGTATTTCCAGAAGTAGCACTCTTACAGCATTTGAAGGCAGGATTTATTCATTGCCTAAGCAGAAACAGATGGGTACTGGGTATTTGTTTGTGTATGGCACCACAAATTAGGGCAATATTTGATTAGATCGTTGACATCTCTGTAAAACTTAATGCTGAATTAGTCAAATACAGTATAAAATGTCAGGAGACATACTGTTGTGCAAGAAAATTAGTGGTCTAGATCAGTAATGAAAACAGATCTGTTTAGTTGGGAGATTATGCTGAAATTTTTGAAAAAATTGGTGTAATGATATGTGAATGTGTATTAAAATATTTGCATGTTTCTGGTTTACTTTCATTCACTTGAAAACAGTAGAAGCAAAAATCTTTGCCTCTTCTATACGTGTTAGCTGCAGTTTAACCTCTGCAGTGATTTGATCTATACTTAAAAATGATTTTATTATTTTTTATGTGATTCTCTTTCTGTCCCAGTTACTTCAACACAGAACATGATTGCTGTTTCAGTGTTGGATCAATGGAAGAAAAGTTCATATGTGGAGGATTTCCTGGAAAAGTCAGTGACCTTATCTTTAAAGTATATACAATTCCTTTAATATCATTCAGCTACTTTGTGAGTGATAAGTTAGTGATGATAGAATATGGAAATGTCTTCTGATGGTATGAAGTGGACAGCTCTGCGGAGCTGTTCTAGGAGACAGCTTAGAGATGTCTTCTTTACTAAAAGTACTACTACGAGGGCAGCTCTGAAAGTAATGCCTCCTATTTTATGATTTTTGCCCCAGATGCCATAGATGTTGGTGGTATCACAACAGAGTCTGAACCTTCTGCCAACATTCTGTTACTTGCTGTTGCTGTGTGACAGATGGCAGCAGAAGGGCACTCTGACAGAAAGGTTTCTGGCATGAAAGTGTGCGTGAAGTAAAGGTGTGGAACTGATTTCCTTCATGCGGAAAAAAATGGCACCTACCAATATCCTTCAACTCTTGCTGAATGTTTATGGAGACCAAACAGAGGATGTGAGCACAATGAGGGGTGGCTGGTAATATTTTATCAGCAAACTTGCTGAGAGTGCGCTCAATCCCACTACTCAAATTACTGATAAAAGTATTGAAGAGCAGTAGTCCCAAGATGGACCCCTGTGGGACGCCAGTCGTGACTGGCCAGTACCTGGACATAGAGCCATGACCACATCTTGACAGCTCACTTAGCTGTGATTTAATAAAACGCGGCTCTCATTTGTCACAGTGTTCAAAGTTTTATGGATTTTCAAAGGCTTACATCTTGTTCAGCTTTGGGCATTTATTGTTGTCAATACCAGACAGTTTTCACTCATGAGCTGTGCTACTTGTGGATGCAAAATAACTTCAAGGCTGTGCTGCTTTGTAAAATGTTTTATTAAAAAACTGTAGCAGTTGTTCTCCAGTATCATGGAGGTTCTGTTCTCCAGTAACATGAAGGTTTATGCTGAAATTAAGAGATGCACTCTGTTCTCTATACTGATGCCATGTCACAGAATCACAGAATCACAGAATCGTAGAGGTTGAAGGGACCTCCAGAGATCATCGAGTCCAACCCCCTGCCAAAGCAGGTTCCCTACAGCAGGTCGCACAGCTCGGCATCCAGGCAGGTCTTGAACATCTCCAGAGAAGGAGACTCCACCACCTCCCTGGGCAGCCTGTTCCAGTGCTCCGTCACCTCACTGTAAAGAAGTTCTTGTGCACATTGGTGCAGAACTTCCTATGCTGCAGTTTCCAGCCGTTTCATTTATGTGGTCGACCTCCAGATGGTTGGCAAATGTCAGGACTGTGTAGCGCAACAGATTATTAGAATACTGAATAAATCAATAGAATGAACATTTGAGATGTCTGTTCTCTGAAATTAGAATATTAGAACCAGTTTTTATATATAAGCAGAAAACACAGGTTCTTCAGAAATGTAAGTTTGTTGTTCGTTCAATTTATATAGATATTGCAGCATTAAAATGGCCATATTTTAATTAGAAATTACAAGTATTTTATCCAAATGTATGGTTAACCCAAAACTAACTTTAAAAAAAAAAAATCTGTTGTCAAATGACTTTGCTATTTGTTTGGTAACCAGGTTTTCTCCCTGGCAAATGTTACTAATACTGACATTAGCACAAAAAGTGTCAAGAAAATGAAATGTTTTTCCTTTTTTGTTTATACTGTATTTCACCTTTTTTTTGCCTATAATTTCTGCATGATATATGAAAGATATGTATACATTTAACCCAGAGCTTTTTTGGTCAGAAGTGTTATGACACCAGCAATTTTGATGCTTTTTTCCAGCCATTGCCCTTTGTTAAATTTAATGCTAAGATCAAATTTAGAGAGTTTTCTCTTGGGAAAGAATTAAATATGTAAATTGGTAGTAGAGAAGTTGAACTTTGGATCTATATTTGAATAATGAAGACAAGTCTATAATTTCAAATTGTTCTGACTAAGTACAGTGACTATGAAAGTTCTTAGTCTGTCTTTTTGTGTGCCATTGATACACTCAGGAGTCACAGAAGTTATTAAAATTTCTTACAGCTGCTTAATTACCCGAATGTTTTTTCTGCTTTTTAGGAAACCTATCAGTTCTATAGGGTTCTGTGTCAATAATGAAGTAATAGCAAGCTCAAATCCCGTCTCTCAGATTGACACAGAAACATATTATTTACTCGAGAAAGTTGTTTGTGAGGAGGCATCAACTCAAGAGAAATATTTGAAGATCGACTGTGCTACTGAGCTTAAGGAACAGTGGCAAGGTAAGATGTTGACTCTTTTCTAACTTTTTACAAAATTTAGGTTTTTTAGTCTTGTAAACTTCCACATTTTTTTGTTCATGACTGAAGGATCATTGAAGAGGTCATTTGGGTGATCACATTACTTGCAATTGCAGAAGTAATAACCATTTTAAGAGATGTTTTTTTTCCATGGAGAAGTAGGGTTTAATGGGTCACAGTAGCATAAGGCAGAAAGTGAACCCAAAGGATCACTGTAAATAGATTTTGCTAGGCATTGGTCAAAATACTAATGATTCCTTGTACTTCAATAAAGTTAGATTCCTGAGGCATATTCTTTTAATGTATCAAGGTGGAAAAGAAATAAGCAGTTTCTACTTTGTTCCTGGGATTGAAGTATTTTGAATTGGGTAGCATTCCTTTGTGTTTTCAAAAACATTTTGGATAGTACAGCCCTAATGGGTATAATTCATTCTGATTGCGGAACAGTCTGTTGAGAAATTTTTATTTTACTATATTATGACATATTATTCTGAACTGGTTTTTTGTTATTGTTGTTTATTCGTCTATCAGTAAATTAGATTACATTAGGAAAGCAAACTAGCTTAATCGTTTGTTCAGACTGCTCCACAGCAACGTAGGGGGCACAAGTGGTTCTTGTTGTGAGGCTGTACAAGATAACATTTGCTAGGAACATATTATCAACAATACAACTGTTCTACAGTTAGTAATTGAAAGTAGTCTTAGTTCATTTCCTTAAGCAATTACCTGATTTTTATCCACATATGTAAAATATAACTGAATGTTTTAGTCATTAATCAAGTCCTCTATATTATGTAGTTTGCTCCCAAAATATCCTGTGATTTCCATGGAAATTACAATAGCTACAAAGAGCACAATAGCGCTGCTTAATAGAGAAAACTCTGAGCTACAAAGCAGCATTTTGTCAGCCTGCCCCTCTGCTGCTATCTGTGCTCGACAACAAAATGTAACAGAACATTGGCGAGAAGGTTCAGCCTGTATGTACTGCCGTGTCACCATCATCCACTCTGACCTCATGGGCCAATGTAGAAAAAAAGGAGGTATTACTTTCAGAGCAGCCCTCATATTTATCTACAAAAGGAATAAAAAGAATTTGTGTGCTTTCCCATGCTATAGCTCATACCTTTTTAGAAACAGCCTTTCAAAAGAGGTAAATCTCCATGGGCAGGAGGAGGTTTTTTGTGGTTGTTTTTTTTTTTTTGGCTTTTTGAGAACTTACAGATAGTTATTGTACTTAAACAAAAGTAAGTAGGCAAGCTAAAAATACTGCTTTCTTAAATTCTTTTTATGGCAGGACACTGTCAATGGTTTATGGGCCGGTTCAGCCCTGTTCTGTGACTAATGGGGTGGTGGACCCAAGGACCCACAGCCCAGGAAAGGGGAAAAAGTAGGGAGATAGGCCTAAAACAAAACAGCAACAGTTGGAGCAAGAAAATTAATGTACTAAATATGAGATATCAGAATGCAAAATAACACAATATAATACAATATAATTGGAATTGAAGCTAATCAAACAAAAGAGAGTGTTCAAAACCCAAAGGCTTTGATCTAATGCTGAAGGTGAGATAGCTAAAGAGCACGCACTGCAGACATGAGCAGCAGGAGAGGGACAGTCTCGTGACCTGCGAGCAGTTTTATCTTTCCCTCTGAACAGAAAATGGAAACAGAACAGTGAACAGTCCTCTGAGATGTGTAGTTCTTCTCTTCTGAAGGTATACCTGAACTGTCAGCAATCCATAGAACTGGAGCATTAACTCTGTAACTCCCAGTGCTCTACATGATGTTAGGATGTGAGAATATGATAACAAAAATCTTAAAACCATGACAGACGTCAAGCTATTCATTAGTCTTTTGACTAGCCTATTGAATTAACAGATAAATAGTTGTTGATCAGCACAAACACTGCGTTACTTCAAGCCATTTTTCTGAACTGTTGCATTAAAGAAGAAAATCTTAGCAAAAGGCTGACCTTTGAGGGGAGTATTTATTTGAACATTTATCTCTCATTTTGAAAAATTTTAAAGCTATTTGGTGTCACTGAATACCTGGTAGTTGACTCTGACTAATCTGTTGTCAGCGTAAAATCAACTTTCAGAAAAAGCATGAAGATGTATACAGTGAATGACAAAACATAGACGTTTACTTCATAGGTAAATGTTATCAGAACAGGAATATTAAGAGTCGTACAATGTGATTTGATTGGAAAAAGTGAATAATGCCAAATTAAGGAAGAATGTGATAGAGAATTTGAAATGATAATTTATAACTGTATTTCAAATAGAAGGAGATTAAAGTTTAGTTCTAGATATATTGCTATGTATTGTTGTGTTTTTTTCTACTAGCCTGTGTGTATCAAAGTATTTCATAGTTATTCCTGCTAATGCAGATTGAAGAGAAATTAAAGTCAGTTATTTCTTTTTTATTGAAATCATCTTTTGTCAACTCCTCTACTTCTGTCTGTTTTTTTTTCCATAAAGTTTATCATTGTTGCAGAATTAGCGAATCCACGTTTTAATTTTGGATATAATGCACACATTTCTTCATTACTGCCTGCTGAAACGTATGAGCCTGCTACAAATTGCTAAGTTGTTAATACTAAGTTATTCAGCCAAAACCTGCTGCAAAAGGTCCTTATGGTATTTGATAATGCAAAGAAGGGAATGAAAATATAGCAGCTTTTCCTTCTAACAAGTGTTACGTGAAAGAAAAGAAAAAAAGCTAAAGGAAAAGAGAGCTTGTCGGTTATGCCTCTGGAAATCTAGACTAAGTTACATTTAAAACTTTGACACCATAAAATCTTTAAACTAAGACATAATTATTGTTTTGCTGATGTTTGTCGCATTTGGAATGTCACTAGATAATTCTTCTGATCATTCTTTTTCTTATTTTTCTTCAGATCTACGTGTTGGAGATGAATTTGTTTTTGTTGATAATCTGAAAAACTATCATAAAAAACTTCCTAATTTATCTACACTTCTGGGCAGACTTAAATTTTTTTGTGTGAGAGATCCTTTTTTAGTTTCTGAAGGAGAGAATTTAACAGAAGAGAATATTTTTAGGTATCTACAAATTGAATAACATTAAGTATAAATAATAACTTATGAGTAAAGCTTTTGACAGGTTAACAGATTTCATGTATTAACTTTTTAACTAGTTCAACAGGTAAAGATTTCAGCTTCTCTTCTCCCACAGAAAAAAAATCTTACGATAAAATTTATATATGCAATTTAAAACAATGCATAAATGAAGTCATGTCGTTATTATACTTTGTAAGAATTAATTGTGCTCAGGAATTTAGTCTTGAAATTCAGGAAGAACATCCATTTCCAAGGGATCTCATGCTCCCGTCGACTGCCTGATTCCTTCTCAGTATAATGCCATTAAATTGAGTTGAGTCTGGCTAAATTTTCTGCTGATTTACTCCACGTTCGGATGACTTGTATAACTTTGCACTTGTCAGGGTTGCCAGATTCACAAGCAAGGTGAAGTAGAATTTAGCTAATTTAATTGTACCTGTGTAATAATAGAACAAGGATGAGTTATTTTCCTGTTTTTTGGAACATGCGTTCTAATCTTCCAGTGAGTCCTGAACAAAGGCATTGTGCTTATGTAGACTTTAGTAAATTTCCTCCAAAGAGAACACAATCCAAATTCCCCTATAACTTTCAAAAATAAAAGTCACGTGGGAAAAAATGTCAGTGTGAACATTTGGAGAACTAGCTCTGGCCTGCTGATGCACAGCTAGCAAGCCACCAAATATATCATGGTGGGGAGTTCTAATCACCTAGTAGAGCACCCAGGGAGACTCATGTAGACAAAGATATATTTAGATAAATTTCAAATTAATGTAAAGTTGGGTGGTATCTCAAAGCTAAACATGGACACATTTTTACTCTTTGATCTACAGTATTCCTCTAGGAAGATAGTGGTGCCAGGTATAGATGGAAAAGCTGTCCCACTAAAAGGGCGATTCTTTCTCAGTTTTCTCAGTTTTACCACCCTACAAAGGCCACAAGGAGCAGGTCCAATGAACAGGTTTCTTTCTGCTTGAAAAATCTTTCACCCTGTCTTTGTATTGTTGCTGTGAAAAACAAGTAATAGTCTGACTCTTAAATTTAATTTCTCACCATTTTAGAATACTGTCACGCTAAGGAAAATACTTTTTTTAATAGTCAGCATGTTCTACTTTTTTAGTGCATGAAAGATTCCTGAAAATAGGAATGAAAAGCAACTGAAATCAAATAATATCATTTTTTAGATTAGAGAAATTTTGCATAAAGCATAAAATCTTAGAGGAAAAACAAGATCTGCAGATTTTCCAGAAAGTAGGCAGTTTCACAAGACAGGACAGTTATAAATTAACAATTTTAAAAAGTAGATTTTTGTTTCTGTTGTTTGTTATTGTTGTTGCTTTAAGACAGATCCAAATGAGTGATACTACTCTGCACCTGCTGTACTGTTTCTCGAAAAACAATTGCATGTAATTGCTTTATTTTCTGGTCTTTTAAAGGGAGTGTTTGACTTTCCAAAATAAAATAGAAATGCGGGAGAGTAAGAATGAATTTCAGGGAATTATGGAGGACTTCTGTAAAACAACATTAGAAGATAAAGAGGTACCATGATGTTGTTTCTGCCCAATTGTTTTATTAGTGATTGTTTTATGTGTATTATTGCTTGTTCATTTGCTGGTCATGGAGATTTTTTTTAATATATATTTTGTAAATATTTGAAGCTTCTTGTTTCTGTGGTTAGAAAAACACTGGTATTATTTGCCTATTTTTAATTTTTCAGTACAGTTGTTAAGAATTTCACCCTGTTAAATTGTTCCTACTGAAACGTGACGAGTTGGCATATTTGTGTAGGTAACATTGCACTAAGAGTAAAAATGAATTGGAGTGGAAAGCCATGGTGTGTCTATGGAAAAGAGAAAGTTCTAATGCATGCTCTGGAACCAAGCTTCTTTTCTGAGGAAACAAAATGAAAATCAAATTTATCTTTCTCCGTATTTTAATATTCTATAAAAAGCAAACATTCAGTTAAACAAATGGGGATTTTGCTTGATTCAGAAATATCTGTTTAGATCTACTCTTTTTATTGCATTGGTTCATTTTGAAATATTGTATGCTGTCATTTTTCCATGTATTGAACAAAGCTTTGTGTCTGCCACGTGTATTTCATGTCTTCTTTCTTAAAAGCTCTGAGATCAGGTTGGAATTCATTTAACTTGATTAACTAATTAATTTTTTTCGAAGTTAAGACTCTACAATAATGTCAAAGAAAATTTAAAATTTACTTAATATTCTGTGATGATTAATATTTTTCAGTATTTCATGTTGCCTTTTGAGTTAGAATTCTGCAAAAGCAGCAACAGCAAATCAGAGTCCAATAAGATTCCATCACATTTGAAATTGAAGGAGTTACTAAATTTAGCTCCAGAAAATGTGGCTTTTGAAAATATGTGTGAAGAGGTAATCGAAGAAGGTGAGAGCTGGTTTTCTTAAATCCTTTATCCAGTTTCCTTATTGTTTTTACAATAAGGAATAAGGCTTAACATGATCTAATCTTTTACATTCAATTCATTTAGAATTTATTTCAGACTGTATCAAATTAGAATTTCTATATGTGAAACCATGAATTATGCCATACAGAAATTTCAGAGTATTAGAAATGTATCATCAGATAGCCAAGGGGAAATGGCTGGTTTAGTCTTCAGTTATGCTGTAAACTTGAAATAAACAGGAGGCTTATTCATAACTATATCTGGGTTTCTGTTATTATGTGGAATTATTTTGTGTTGCTAAGAGAAAAAGATACTGCCTGGAACTCTTTACTTTGAGCTGAAAAATGAATTATAAATGAACTTGCATTAGTTTTATCAAACAAGTGAGGAAAACTGCTTCTTTTTGGGGGATGCAAATTAGAGAGAAACTGTCGCTTATTGAAGGTAGGAGCAAGACTTTGAAACAACATTTGCAGAGGGAAGCTTCTCTGATACATTTAGTACATTAAATCGTGCATGTCATATTCCAGTACCAAGCAAAATGACCTGGCCTCCAGTGCAGATGTTTGAGAATTTTGTGATTAGAATAAAAAGGAATGGATTGACATTTATTTTAATCCTTTTCAGCAGCAAGAGAACCTGCGTACACAAGCACTTAGTAAACTACATTTAGGCTACCCACTTGTTGCAGAAATCACATCACTGAAGAAGTAAAAAGGCTGAGTGGTTCAGATGGCAACTACAGTGCATTTCAGTTGTTTTCCAGCAAGTCCAAGGGACAAGACTGGGCACTGTTCTGGTCTATAAATCACTGATTTATGGCACTTTGTGCTACTAAGCATAATGGGAGTTTTTCATACTGATAAATTATGGAGATCTAACAAGGAGATTTTTTTAAATTGTTTTGACAGGAAAGGTCAATAAATGGTTAATTTATGGCATCCTTTAAAATCCATTTTCAGCTCTCAAAGAAAAAACTGCGAACAAAATGGAAGTTGCCAAATACTGTCCTATTTCAGTGGTTAGCTCCAGTAACAGCATGAGTATGTTGGAAATCTCTGACACAGGTAAGAAGACCTACACCCAATACTGATACTTCAAATAAATTCTTTGGGTGGTTGTCCCCATGGTATATTCTTGGGAGCATATGTGCCTCATTTACTTAAAATAAGAGCATTTGGCTTGGGTAATCTGTTTTGTACTTTCACCATAGATGGGTAGAAGTGCCATGCTCCTTTAGAGAGTGCTGAAAGATAATAGCAACCAGCTTTGGTTCTTTACATTTCTTTTGGCTAAAGATGGTGCCTGTAACTTTCATATTTAGTTTTTGTATTATTATTTTTTTTTTATCTTGCAACTTACCTACTCATGGAGGGCAGAGTAAAGTGAAGTCAAGCTGATTATGGTTTTGAAGTGAAAGAGTGCAGTTTAAAGTTTAAGTACTTATGTAAATACTTTCAAAGAATGGTGTTGGAGGACAATTCTGGAAGAAGTACCAAGGTCAGGTCTTCCAGAGGTACAAAACTACTGTGCAATCATTTGGCTTGTGAGTGGTTCAGGAGTGCTGTGTGAAATGAATTCAAACAGACACTGAAGCTGTCTTCCACAGAAATAAACTGAAAATGTTGAGTTGCTGAAATGTGAGTTAAATCCTTGCTTTTCCTGTGCTGAAATCAGGAAATTTCATTCTGAAAAGCCTGGACAGAAAGTGGCATTTGAAATTCATTGTGTCATGGGAAAAGTGGCAATACTTGATTAAACAGCACTTAGATGAATAACTATTAAGGCAGTTGGATAGATGATCTCAGAAGTCTTTTCCAACACTAGTGATTCTATGATTCTGTAATTTCTCCCTCTAATGTATGTTCTATCTTGCAGAAGGTTTACCCATTTTTGTATTGAGCAGTAGCAACGTTCTCCTGCAGCACATGTTCACTTGATAATTTTCCATTCAGCATTTCTAAAAATTCTAGAGTACTTCTGTGTTTTCTTCAGATCAAAAACCCTTTTTTATCTCAGTTTTAATATGATTTAAAGAAGATTGATGTCTTTCTCTTTCAGACTAATAGTATTGTGTTCCTGACATTGTGTTATAGTGGGATTTTGATGGGAGCAATCATATGTGCTCAAAGTGTGTAGTGTATGGTCAGTTTGCCTTAAGCTTTGTTTTCCCACGAAGACAAAGTTAAACTTAATTTCCCTCAGTAAATTATTGTCTCACAAGATTAACTTCAATCTGAATCCACTAAACTAATAAGCAGGAGGAGCTGAAGTACAGTTGGCTATGGCCTTACCTAGTATCTTGTCCATTCTTCCAGCACAGATGAGTAGGAGAGACATCTTGAATTATTTTTTAAAAGAAAGCTACATCATTAATCTCTATTACGAATTTCCTGGCTGAGATCTGCTATTGAACTGAGTAAGATTCAGTCACTAGGGCACAGACAGCTTGCATATCTTTCTTTTATTTTTTTCTTTCTTCTGAAGATGTTCACAGAACTTTAGGCTTGACATCTGCTAACCCAACTGTATTAGTAAGACACAGTTTCTAATGGAAGTTCCTATATCGAATCGAATTTCAACAGGGAAACCTTAGTATTCTCCAACTCTTTCTTAATTTTGCTGTATTGAGTTAGCAGGAGCACAGCATATTTGCTAAGAGTCCAAGAAGAATGAGTCTGAAAATAATGGCATTTTTAATCAACATTCGTTGTTTACCAACCTTTCCTGCTAGCTATAGGGGTTATTTTTTGATAAAGGAAATGAGAGTCAAGAGAAGCCACTCAGGATTTTATGTATTTAGAAAGTGAATAACTCTCTTAGTGGAGGCAATGTTCAGCTAATGTAGTGGGTCATGATGTTCTAGTCTCAAGGGCAGAATAATTAGATGTGAATGAGTATGAACAGTATTGCAGAAGGAGAAATAATTGTTCTTTATTCAGAAATTTTGCTGTCCTGAGATAAGCTCCGATCTCGTCCAAGAAAAATCATAAAATTTGTTTCCTGACATGAAAAACATATTAGGAAATCTGAAGTTCATAGCTGAAGTTCACTGCTGAAGTTCAATGAGTTTTTTTTGTTCTAAGTGAGAAAGAAATTATACTATTTGGAAATGCGCTTCTTTCTGTGACAATTTTAATTTCTTATTTTTCAACATACAATGTTTCCTATTTTCTGGCTTCCTAACACTCTCCTGTATCCTTCCTGCCCTACAATCTGCTTGTTAGTTTGGACAAGGAGCAGCTGCAAGCCGCTGGGCAGGTGTCTGAGCTTACTGAGTGACAGTTGGCCTAACCATGTGCTTATGGTGTTTGCAGCTGCTTACAGCCTGTTGAAGTGAATAGCGAATTTGTTACAAACGTTTTTCCATATGGAGGCACTAATTTAATTCCAGTTTTTCTGGCTGTTAGTTTTCTGAGAACATGGAAGAACTGTTAAGTTTGTTTGTTTTTCGTGACCTCTGCTTTCTGGTCAAACGTAACTTTCAATACTATTGGAAGAGTGCTGGGGAGATGAATACCAGGCCTATCATATAGACCTGCAATTTTTATGGAATTATGGAAAAACAAAAACCCACCAAGTTGCAAATTCTGCACAAGATTTTAATGGAAAGAAATAATCCATTAAAATATTCACATTTAATATGATTAGCAAAAAAAGCTTGTGAAAAATGACTGACACATAATAGTAACAAGCATGCTTGTCTATATATAACTTTTAGAAACATCGCTGTGATTCATTTCAGTGTTCACACCTGTAAATTGAAACAAGAACTAGCTCTATTTGGAAACATAATTCCATCTTTATAAGCCTGAACTTTGTTCCTGAATTGTCTAGTTCTATTCAGTTGTACGTGCACTGTTATAACCTCCACGAAAATTGTCTCATCTCTCCAATCTGAATAGTTTCATTTATGTGTGAACTCAGAAAGCCAACAGTGGTCATCACGTAACGTCAGACCTCACTCATAATACATGGTAATTTAATTGCCTTACATGGCAGAATAGGTAGCCAGAATTACGTTACAGAATGAATGAGGGAATGTAATCTCTGTATATTTTTATCTCCAAACTGTCTGGGAATTAAATACGAAGTATGCCTATTTGTTTTTTATTGCTGAAGTGGTGGATTATCCCATTAAAACATTAGGAATGTTAGTGCAGACCATCATCATTGTAAAATTTCTAAGTTTTCATGCTTCATTCACGTGAAGCGTTGTGAACTATATTAGATTTTTGTTTGGTTTGGGTGGGGTTTTATACATTTTCTAGCCAAGCACATCTCATATCTGAAAGATGAAATGGAAGTACCTTTAACTCCTCTATGCAAACAACGAAGATCACAGGTGAATTTTCTCTGCATAGGACTTCAAGAAGAACTTAATCCTCTTTTTGATAACAGGTAATGAAAACTTTATAGTATTAAATTATGTCATAAATACTCTAAATCATAAATCCTTAAAATTAGTGCAGAAACTGCTTTGGTCTATTTGTTAATTGGTAGTGATGTATGCTGAGAGAGTTATACATATATTGTCTTACCATATAAACAATGTGAATTATCTCTATCTGTGGCCTTTTTTAACAGAGCTTGAAAAAGAAACCTCATTTTCTATTGTAAATCTTTTCCTGGGAGACTTGATAGACTGAAAATCCATTCCCATTTTTTGAATAGGCAGCAGTAAATATGTGTGTATAGCATGTATATATAGCAAGTATATGCATTTACCAGGTATCACCTGCCAGAAGAGATTCTGGAGAAAGTAAAAAAGTATGTTCTGTGGCGTGGGGGTGCACAGCAATGGAATTCAAGCCTTTTCATACTGACATAGAATCAGGATGGCTTCATCCTTTCCTTTTTATTCTGCTGTAAGACTAACTTTTTTCGTTTTGCTGTCTCTTCCGCATATGCAGAAAGGCTTTAAATACCTTTTTTGGAAGAGAACACAATCTAGAGAGAATGTTCTATAGGCACAAGAAAATATTTTTGATGAATGAGTGTGTGAACATGAAATTTAAAGAGATGGTGTCTTTAGAAGTAGTTTTGTATAAATCAACCAGTTTTAAAATTCAACAGATGATGCTGTTAAACTTCACACTTCTAAGTCTTCTTTTATTTTCTTCTTAGTATTTTGATTACAGAGCCCTCTAAGGAATACTTAGACTCCTTGGTATGGCAATCAGAGAAGTACTGGGATAATGTGAACTCTCTTTTACTTGTCGGTAAGGAAATACTGAATTTCTAACTGATTTTGAACACTTCTACATACATGGAGAAAATGAGGTGGAAAAAATAATATTGTAATACAGAGCATGTCTTTTGAGCCACTGAGGCTTAGCCTGTTAATATAACTCTTGGATTTGGATAACCTGATTTTTTTAAAGTAAGCAAGAGTAACATCAATACGGCAACAAAGAATTTAGTATGTCGTGTATTCTTCCGTGGAGATAATTTGAATGAAGAGTTTCAACTTCATTACAAAATATTTTGTTCAATACTACTAACTGTGTTGAAGAAGTGAGGTAGTCTGAGCATAAAAATAAAATCTATTGAAGTAATTCTATTTTGGATGCTATTTTATCTAAAGTAATGTTTTTCAAGCAATAGGAAAATACTGAAAATAAAAAATAATTTTTTAACTTGACAAGAGCTGAATTCATGTTATGAAACAAAACAAAACAACAACAACAAAAAGCTGCAGGTGATTTCTGACAGCACCAGAATACTCATTACTAGTAACTGCTTTGCTTTTAAGTCTCATAATGGGCACTGGCTTACAAACAAAAATAAAACCAAGGGATATGCATACTACAGGGATGAGTACCTGGTATTTGCAAAATGACATTCTGCTTATTTCCGTTTCTAAATTATTGATATTGTGTGTTGATTTCTGTTTCTGTAGAGTATCAGAGCTTTAAACTTGAACATCGGCACCGTTCTCTCACAGAGCTAAAGGAAATGCTGTCAGTTGATGTAGAAACACCAATGTTTATGTCACTTGAAAAGGACTGGTGGCTTCACATGGGATTAGATCTGGTCTGTGTTGATACTTTGGAGCAATTTAAGAGGGATTCCAATAATAAAAACAGTTTGTTTTCTACAGAAGTAGAAACATTCACACAATTTTCTATACGTCAGTTAGAAAGTAAGTATCTTTAAAATAAATCAGTGGTAAAAAGGCAAAGATAGATACAGAGAAAGTGAAAGAAAGGGTTGATTACATACTTCCAACAAGGACAGAAATGAAAGACTTTTTGTTTTCAAGAACAAGTTTTGTAACACTGTGAAGCAGCAACACTGCTGTAGTTAAGAGGTACTTTCGGAAACTTATGACATCTTGCAGTAACAAAAATGTTTAAATACACAAAGTTATATTTTCTAAAAGTATGCAGATGAAATGTCAACCAAAGCTCTTTTAAATTAAATGGTTTCATACATCGCAGCCCATTGCTTGAATAAGTGTACTCTTCGTTGGGTTAAAAACAGATACTGAAATGTTCCCAGAGGAGGAAAAGGGCCTGGAGCACAAGTCTTTGAGGTGTGGCTGAGGGAACTGGGATTGTTCAGTCAGGACAAAAGGAGACTCAGGGCTGACCTTATTGGTCTCTACAACTTGTTGAAAAGAGGTTGTAGCGAGGTGGGAGTTGACTTCTGCTCCTGGGTGACAGTGATACTGAATGAGTAGTAACAGTGTCAAGTTGCACCAGTGAAGGTACAGGTTGGCTATTAGGAAAAATTTCTGCTCCAGAAGAGTGTTGAGATATTGGAACAGGCTGCCCGGGGAACTAGTGGTGTCACCATCACTGGACATACTCAAGAAATTTGTAGACATAGCACTTAAGGACATAGTTTAGTGGGCATTTTGGTGATGGGGTAGTGGTTGGACTAGGTGATCTTGGAGATCTTTTCCATTACGATGATTATTCTATGATTCCACATGGGAATTCCTTTGGAAATAGTAATTTTGGTTTAGAATATTTTGATAAACATTTTTTTTTTTTTGGTCATAAACAAGTCTGTGGATGACACCAAGCTGTGTGGTGTGGTTAACACACCTGAGACTTGGGATGCCATTCACAGAGGCCTAGACAGGCATGAGCAGTGGACCTGGGTAAACCTCAGGTTCAACATATCCAAGTGCAAAGTCTTGTACCTCAGTTGTGCAACCCTCACCAGTACAAGCTGTGAAACATTAGGATAGAGAACAGTCCTGCTAAAAAGTTAGAGGTACTGGTAGATGGCTAGCTGGACATGACCCAGCAGTGTGTCTACACAGTCCAGGCTGTCTGTATCCTGTATCCTACATTAGAAGAAGCATGGCCAGCAAGGTGAAGGAGTTGATCCTGCTCCTCTGCTCTGCACTGAAGAGACCTCACCTGGAGCACTGCATCAGAATGGGGAGTCTTCAGTACAGGAGAGACCTGGACCTGATAGAACATGTCCAGAGTAGGGACACAGAAATGATCCAAGGGATGGAACACCTCTCCGATGAGGACAGGCTGAAAGAGCTGGGGTTGTTCAGCCTGGAGAAGAGTAGGCTTCAGGAAGACCTGATAGTGGCCTTTGAGTACCTGAAGAGCAGCTATGAGAAAGGAGACAGACACTTGAGTAGGGTCTGTTGTGATAGAATAAGGGGAAATGGTTTCAAAGTGAAAGAGATTTAGATTGGATATAAGGGAGAAGTTTTCCCAATCAAATGTGTTGCTATCCCACTTCTTAGAAACCTAACAGCAGGAAGCATCACTTTTGAAAACTTAACAAAAACAGTAGTATGGCCTTCTGATTCTCAGAAGTACTCAGTAGTATTCAGAAGTAATCAGTACAGATTTTCTAAAATGGAATCTGGAAAGACAGAAAGAAGAAATTCAAAAATGCTTTCAATCCAAAGTAATTTACTTCAACTAGGAGCAATTTAAAAAAAAAAAAATCTGCATTACAGCAGAGAAATCAAATTTTATTTTTTAGGATGGCCTGAAGAAAATGATTCCATGCCAGATCAGGAATTGCTTTCTAGTGAAAGAGGTCAGATGGATGAAGTAACTGATCTTTGCATGTCACCTCAGACCAAGATGCAGCACTTTGGCCTGCCTATAAATGCTGCGTCTTCTCTCAAAATAGACAAAACAAATACACCTCTGGAAAACGTTACTGGAGGAAATATACAAAAGAGAAAGATTGAAGAACCTGTTTATTTCTTCAACCGAGAAGAGAAGATAGACGTATCACTTATGTCTGTCAGTTGTAAAGATACGCCTTTTAAACAACACAACTCTTCTGAGGGTCAAAACCTCACGTCGTTCACACTTGATTCAAAATGGGACAATGATGATTCTGATCTGAACAACTTTATAATGCTAAGGTGTAAACGCACAGTCACTCAAACACAGGAAAAAAATGGTGTAGATCATCCTGAAAAAGGTATGTGAATCATTTTATTCTGCTGTTATTCCATTTTCAGTACTGTTTTCTAATGCCAGTTACCATGGATGCTGGTAGTTCATGTTTATAGAATTATGGGGGAGAAATCTCAGCTCAGTGGTAAAATTTTTGAATTAATGTAGTTAAATTTTCATCTAAGGTTCTTGACTGCATTTGTTCTTTAGATTTCTTTGGGATTTTTTTGTTTGTTTGTTTTCAAACAAACAAAAGTTGTTTTCTTTTTGTTTTTCTTCTTGTTGTTGCTGATTGGTTGTCTTTTATTGTAACATACATGAGTTTATTCCTGTTCTGAAAAGTGACTTTAAATTGTACTAAATTGAAATTGAAGATCTGAATATCAGGCAGCACTTATTTATAGTGTGAGTGCTAGACCCTGGCACAGGCTGCCCAGATGCTGTGGAGTTTCTGCTGGAAGATTCCCAGGCCTGGATGTGGTCCTAGGCATCCTGCTCTGGGTCTTCCTGCTGGGACAGGTATTAGAACAGGCAAACACTGAGATCCCTGCCTATCTCAGCCATGCTGGGATTCTCTTTTTTCAGTATGTCCTGAGTAAGTTCTTTGGAAAAATCAGTTACTTTTATTTTTGCCTTCGTAGAGTTAGCATAGCTTAGACAATGAACAAGAGATGAAGTTCTCTCAAAAGAACTGCTGGAACTGTTCTTGTTTCTATAGACCACAGAAAATAATGAGACAGTACAGGTGTAAGAGAAAACAAGAAATTATTGTCAGCTTTGTTCTCACAGTGCTTATGAGAGAAGCTCAGGGTATGGAGTGAGCGCTGCTGGACTGAAAAGAGAGGAAAAAGAATAGGAGGAAGTCCTTATATGTTTTTAAAAATAAAAGAGTGGGGTGATTTCTTAGGCAGTGACATATTTCCATGCTCATTTTCATGATGGTCATACAAGAAAATATTTTTTTTCATTTTTTGGACTTGGGTACCAGAGTTTTTTGACACTGACCTTTTATTGTGTTTCAGTTGAGTCTCATCATTGAAAAAATAATGTTAAATAAAAATTTTAAGCAATAATTATTATGGAATTGAGTTAGGATGTTTATTTAACTACAAGTTATTTTTAATCTTATCGAGCAAATTAATTCTGGGTGAAATTCATCTTTTGCAGTTCCTGGAAGACATCTCACTGCTCCCCTTTGTCCCCCCACATTCACAAAACAAACCAACAAACAACCAAACATTGAACTTTCATTGCCTTATTGAGAAGCAATCTCACTTTTAAAACTACTAGAGCAAGTTATCAGAAATGTAGCTTTATGCTACCATCTAGTGAATTCTGACTACAACTGCATCTCCTAAGAATACAAATAAAAATGTTTTGAAAGACAAGCAGTCAATTCTACACTTCCAAGCAGGGAGTAGTAAGCTTGTGAAAGTTTAGGTTAATTAAACTGTAGAAAGATACATGCTAGCAGGTGGACCCCAGTGTAACGGGTCTGATATGTCTGATGTAAAAGCAATGCATAAAAATATATAGTTATTAATGTGAAAAGCACTGGTGTGAAAAAGTTGTGAATGTATATGTTTTTGTAATAATTAAAGCCTTATTAAAAGTCATTCTAAATTTAGTTTAATAAATACTTGCACTATTCATAGGGCTATTCCACCTTTGTTTCTCTTGTGTAGCTTACTTTTTAAAGATTCCACTTTGCATAATACCTAGTTTAGAAAATATACAAGAGAAGTTTTTTGAGTTGACTGAAGTTCTTAACTGAAAATAATTGGCAGTGTTTAGGAGACAACCAGTCAGAACCCATTTCTGAAATAAGAGATAGCACTGACAAAGGAAGCTTTGTGAACAGAAGTGCATGGAGGTCATGCATCAGCATCTGTAAAGAGCAAAGCAAAAAAA